TCGAACAGAGACGTCTTTTGGAATTTCGCGCGATTCCACCGAGCTTTCGCGTAAGAAAACTTTTGGACGGTATCCAGAGGTTATAGATTTATCGCCGTGAAATATAATGGTGCCATTATATACGGCCGAGCGATCACGATGTTACCCATTGTCAGTGTATAATTTTGAAACTGATGATTGGGATCATTGCGCATGGAGAATTATCGTAAAATGAAGGAAACTTTATACGCTACGCTTAATGGAACCGTGATTTCAACGGTCGTATTCATATTCATATAACGCAGATTACACGCAAATCACACGAACGTAAATTATGTAAGTGACTCGCAATTCATTACAGTAGAAGTAAAAATTTAAAAATGAATATAAAAATGAGCCTAAGATTAAAGATTTCTAAAAAATATTGTTTTTTCTTTAAAAATTTAAAAGAAAATAATACTATTATTTTTCTCTCGCTCGCTTCCATCTTTAATTAATGCAATCCACAAAATAAGCCCGATGTTGCATTCTGAGATACTTTTGGCAATGCTCCGTGTTGACTTCAATGCCCCTTCATTAAACGTTTATCTCTTATCGCGACTCACACATACACAAGGGTTACCTGCAACATATCTCAAGAGCGGCCGCGAAATTTATCGGCGATTTCGCCATAATGGCCACGTGTTCTCGGTATTGTTTTGCCGTTATCTTTGAATTGGTTTAGATTATTGTCGCACATTTCGAGCTTCCGGGCAAAAGATAATCGCCTACAATTGTTGGCAATATATAATGGCTATGATAGCGTATAACAATCAAATGATAAGGTCAGTTAAATAGCAGTTAAATGCAGGCCATTAGCTACACTGATGACGATGATAGGCACGATGCGGCACGTTTTATTTGCTACATGTATTCTCGACGCAATCGCTCGTCCGCAATGTTACGTTTTATCATTCCAAAATGACACAACGTTAGATAATGGGATTGCACGCTATCTATTATTTATTTTTAATCCACATGCATATTTAGAAATATCTTTACTTAAAATTATATAATTATTATGTAAGATGACACGTAGAAACATGAGTGTCTCATTCCATCTTCCATTTATAATCGACGATTCAATCATCGGAGTCTGCATTTATCTCGTAATAAAAGCAATTTGCGCGAATTTACGCGAAGGTCGCAGTTTTTCCTCGATGGATCATAAATCGTCCGTCGAGCAAGTCTGCCGCGCGCGTCACAAAGATCAAATTCAAAATTGATAACCGTTTGATAATGGCCTCGGACGACGCGATTTGTATGCGAAAAGCAGATTACGCGAATGGTAGGAAGACGGGCGCGATCGTAACGAGAATAGATGGAAAACCAATGCTCGACCTCTTCAGATCGATAAGATGAGAGTGAAATGATCGTGTCCATAGAGCGTGTGGAATTATGAAGAATGACTATAGAGTATAAAATATTCTACAAAACCATATTTTGTTAAGCCTACTTATTTCAACGAATTCACAACTGTTACGAAATAATTTAAGTTTATAATTAACCAGAAATACAACTTTGTTATTTGTAGTTCTGAAGTTCAATTCTTTGCCTGTTAAATCTCTTTCTTTTTAAAGATAAAATTTCGATCTATGAAATAACTCTACACCTATCGACACTTTGATGTTCAAATTGCTGCCATTCTTTTCAAGAATGGCATTTGGTTTCAGTTTTCCAGAGACAGAGGACGTCCAATATACCTTGTGTGAATTTTGTGTGCTGGCATAAAAAAAGAAATTCAACTAAAAAAACTAAAAAAAAAGAACTAAAAAAAATTTACGAATTTTGTGGAAAAGTCTGCGATAATCTTTATAACTAAATAATAAGAAAAAAATGTCATACAATAAAATGCTTAACACAATTAAAACTCTATGCATAAATATTTCGACGTGTCTCACAAAGAGTTGTCACTCAAAAAATCGCCGAATTATATTTAGTGCGTTGTAAAAGCAATTTATAATATTCCAATACGCGAGATATTTTCCTCACTTAGAAAGGATCGCAAGTTTCGTACAAATTATACGAAGAAGCTATAGCTTGGTGAGATCCAGTATCATGGGACCATTAATCTTCGTCTGGCGTCCCTTTGCCGTCAGATTAGGGAATCCTCCTTGATTCTTCCTAGGTCTCTCGCAATGGCGTAGCGCAAGGGCAAGCGTTAAAAGAGTCTCTCGACGAATATAAGCCGCTCTTCGAAGGGCACTTGATATAATAGTACAGTCAAAGTTAATATTACCGTCAAGATTAAGTCTTGATATCTTTAACGCTAATTAACACAATTTGGCGTATCTTGGCACTAGATAACACAAATCGGGCGATTAATTAATTACTCTCCGTAAAAGATATCTGAATTAGTATAATAATATACATGCATTTTTGCCTTTGAAATTTTTCATCTTTATTTGTAATGAATCTCGATCAAGAATGGCTTGTAGATATCGAAATGTGCAACGTAAATTTAATTAAGAAAAGTTAAAGTCAGATTTAATAACTGATGTAATTACAGTAAGACTGTCAAGATTAAATCATTGCACTGAAGAAATTAGGTTAATTGCATTTCGCTATCGCACTTTTCCTCTTCTACCTTTTACTTCCGGGAATCTTCGATAGCGGAGTCGACGTGATCCTTTACGCCATTGTTTGCGTGTTGCGGAACGATCCTTTTAACGAGGTGTAAACGAATAAATCCGAATTCGCACTGGCGCTTTCGTTTGACGTTGCGTCTACGTTGTCGGGATTATCTTGCCCACGATCGCAAAATGTTGATAGCCTTATCGGGAACGCTGGTCTCTTTCTCGCAGGAGAACTCACGAACGCCTCAAACGCTGGCATCCTCTTTCGTGACTGCGATACGTCGTTATCTCGCAAAAGATTTTATTTCTCGAAAGAGCATGCAATCCGCCGATTGTGAGTTGAGCATGCAGCCATTTCTACCGCACGCGTCGTATCTTGCATTCGGATTTCTAATATGCCTTCCTGAATACTCAAACGTCCGCATTCCTTGTTAAGAATGCGAGATACAAAAAGCGTGTACGTTTCATGACTTTGCAATAATATGCGTGTGTGCTTTCGATTATTATGCATTTTTTTTTTTGATACTTGTACGTTTCTTTTCAATTAGAAATAATTAACCATTGGACTGGAGAAACGCACAGGAACTGGAAATATAAAAACATAATATAAGTATATACGAGTTTTAACATTCTCGTCATTATCGTCCGACAGAATTTCCGGCGATATCCTACAATGAGATATTATTTTCAAGCGTTTCATTTCTGCGCATTGTTGGCGGTCGCGATGCTGAGTGCATTAGAGCAAAGTGCATCCGAGCCCCCGGTTGCGTTATGCCATTATCAGGATTACCAGCGGGAAATGCCTCTCCTGTTTTTCTCCGCACCCGTGTAAAATTGTCTGGTTAATTGTATTTCATTGTTACCTCCGCGCAGGGCTCGTGTTGTCTGTGAGCGTGCATGCTCACTGAGAAAAATACGTCGATATGAACTACGGATTCGCTTGTTAGCTTTACGCGCTTTGCTTTTAGCGATATATCAAAAAATTACGATTGTGCAACATGGATTTTTTTCCAATCCGCAATATTTATATATCTATCAAAATTGTTGGAAAGTAATTATGTTCAAATTGAACAGCGAGCAATATTCCATTATTTATTAGCGCTTCTGAGAGAAAGAGAGAGAAAAAAGTACAATTGTCAAAATTGTTATTCTGTATTTTTTATTGTTTTTAGCATTAAATACTAAGTGTGTCTCGAAGTATGTCTTTTAAGTTTTTATATCTACGTCATATTTATACACGTGATTGATAAATCTGTTGAGACTTATTTCTTAATTTACTAAAAGAAGTATTTTTAAATCATTTGAATATTATCAATATATTTATCAATAATATTGATGATAATTTTAATCAATGTCTTTATTTCACGTTGCTTACTTCTTTATGCATTACCTTTTGCAATTTTATTTTTTTTAATTTACTTGTTTTGTGTTGTTTTCTATTTTTTCGTTTTGTTTTTTTTCTTTCTCTCTCTTTTTTTCTCTCTACATTTTCCAATTCGGATATATTGATAATAAAGCAATATATCTAAAAATTTTTTAAAACAACGAATTAAATTTTACTTCATAATTATCCACTTTATTAAAATAAAATGGGAGTCTTGCGTCATATATTGAATAGCACAATCAGCGTCATAATTATATATATATATAATGGAAGGATGTGTTTGAACAAAAGCATCTGTGCGTAATATTTCTCATTGTTTTCCATTCCGGTCATGCAAAGCAAGACTATGACATACAATAAAAATTCAGATCCTTTATAGATATATATATACATATAATACATATAATATATACAGATATATACATATATATTTTCATTACTTTCTAGAAATGTTGCTTATAAATACTTTAAGTTAAAAGAATAAAGCAGTAAGTCGTAATCATATATATAAATAAAGTTATAACAAAATATATATATACATGAAATAAATGTATGTAAAATATATTTTGTTTGCTATATAAATTATAAATTTATTTCTTTTTGCGAATATATGAGGCAATAAAAAATTGTCTATCGCTTTGATGACTCATGAGAATAAATATATTGAATAGCACAATCAGCGTCATAATTATATATATATATAATGGAAGGATGTGTTTGAACAAAAGCATCTGTGCGTAATATTTCTCATTGTTTTCCATTCCGGTCATGCAAAGCAAGACTATGACATACAATAAAAATTCAGATCCTTTATAGATATATATATACATATAATACATATAATATATACAGATATATACATATATATTTTCATTACTTTCTAGAAAAAATTGTCTATCGCTTTGATGACTCATGAGAATAATTTCCTCTTTTAGATATTCGACAATTAAAATATTCTTTATTTTACTTGCAGAAAATAACGTAATAGTTAGCATGATAACGCGATATATACCATAATATACTTGTTACACTTGGTAGTAACAGCATACGGTATCCAGTAATTGTCCTTCTCGTTTCATTTCTGAGTCAGCAGTTTTGTTAGCATATCTGCTACGCATAACATTATTTCTAAACGAGAAAAAGTGCGTTCATCATATTAATCTACAACTACGCTTGAATTTTTAAAAATAACATTGAAATAAAAGATGATCGTGAAAAATCAGAAAAAATCGCTTAAAATGGCTAATATGAAATATATCGTAAGTTTTATTTAGTCATTATTTGCATTTAACTGTTACATATTTTCTATAATGCAAATAACATTGAAAGACTAAGGCTTCGATTTCTCTGAAATTTTAGATTTTACTTTCCTGTATAATGCTGCTTCTGTTACCCAGAGACAGTGTAGGTGCTAAAGGTAAAGTAGCTGTAGATACTAAAGGTAAAGTAGCTGTAGGTGCTAAAGATAAAGCAGTTAAAGATTCTCAGGATAGTGATTCATTATCATCATCATCATCAGCAGCAGCAGAAAGAAGTAGTGAAAATAAAGGTAAAAAAAGTGTAGATGCATTTGAAATGTCAAAAATATCGTCAAGTGAAATCTTAGATAAGACAATATCCAAATATATCTATATACATTTACAATAAAAAATGCACCGATGATCAAGACTTATCTTTTGGAAATAGGGAAGAATGAACGTGCCATCAACTCAAGAAATACAAGATGTATCCAGCTTCCTTTCAATTTAAGCTGCATTTAATTTACAATCAACATAAGCTTACAAATATTAAAATAGAAAAATATTAAAATATGTGAAAAGTTTATAATTATTAATTGAAAATTTTTACAATATAATGTTTGCTTCTATAATTAAATGATATCTGATCTTATTAGCTTTACTTGGTGGTGGTTTATCAATGCTTTAGCTTTAGAGCTTGGATTGCAATTGTAAAAACAAAAAAAAAAGATAAAGAAAATAAAGGATTTAATCAGTGCAATATTGTGTTTTAGATTTTATTGTATTTCATATATATATGTATAATAGTTATTACGATTTTATTATATTAATTTTCTCGAGAAATGTGCAAGTTTTATGCAGAGTATAGTATCTCTCTCTCTCTCAGAGTACATTATATCAAGTTCAAATACCGTTTACATTGTCTGATATTTAAAAAAATCAACATAAAGCAAAGTCGACAAGAGTACTGAGTTTGTCTTATGTGTCTCACAAATGTTGCTAACAATAAGTCCGATTTTGCAATTCACCCAGCATATGTTTCCATCTTTTTTCTATAGATATAATGTGCTCTATGCGCACATTGGCAACAATAAAATTTTGAATCTACTTATTAACAAATAATATACTAGTCATTGTAGCTATTGTTCTTATAGGAAGTTTCATTAGCGTTACATAAATACCCATCAGTGTAATATACATCACTAAAAAGAACTTGTTTATTTGAAAAGTATTATGTTATAATTATCTAAAATCTAGTATAAATTAGAAACAGTTAAGAGTCTTAAGAATCTCTAAAGATCAAAGAATCAATGTCGCGCTTATTACATATATTAAAAATTTTGTTACTAATTTTGCTGTTATTAATGTTCTCCGCATGTTTAATCGCACATCTCATTCCTATTTTGCGATACGGCATCACAAAGATTTCAATTTACATGATCTGTTTTTAAGAATTTATACTACTTGTTGCATGAAACTATGCTTCTTTAAGCGCAGAAGAGTCCTCTTTGAGATGATAATATATGTGGACGATGTAGTCATAATTCTTGCATTTTAATTCAAATATATTGATAATATAGCAATATATATTTAAAAATTTTTTAAAAGGCGAATTGAATTTTAATCCGTAATTATCCACTTTATTAAAATAAAATGGCAGTCTCGTTATTGAATAGCAATTAGCCTCATAATTATATATGATGGAAGGCTGCGTTTGCATAAAAGCACCTGTGCATGATATTTCTCATTGTTTTCCATTTAGAATTCAACGAAAGGAGAGAAGAATGTCCCTTTGGGCGCAGTGATTTGTGTGCTATGCGTTCACTGTGTGCTCACATCACCACAGATAATCAATTTTGTCTAATTAAAACTTACAACAGCCGAGCGCCCCCAAATACTATACGCACTGGGAGGCTGACAACCGCACACACATTGATGTATATACAATACATATATTTCACTCCATCGTCTGTTTATTTGCTAAAATAGACGAATTATTTCGAAAATTTGTCATATTATAATGATCAGCAATATATGTATATATATAAACACATGTTTTTTATTGAATAAATTGCTATTGTCTCTTAATTCCATGCATTCTTTCAAAGCAACTAATAAATATATTATTGTTGTTACAAAGTTTATTACTGAATATGTATTTTTTAATTTTATTTAAGAATTAATTTTATTTTGCTGTTTCGTATATGTTTTTTACTTACTAATTTATTTAAATTTTATTTCTGGTATTATATTATATAATATCAAAAGAATATTATATTTTGCTTACATGGATAATTTCTTCAAGGATACGCCGAAACGTGTGATCGTCGCGCTTCGATTGTAAGCATTCTTGCTTACGTTATCGTGTCTGCATTGCAATCAAAGTCGTGCGAAGAGCCGAAAACCGATGAATGCAGAGACGAGACATATCAATGTTTAAAGATACGTCGGGAACCTTGGATATTATACTATCCACTTCGTGAATGATAGATATTATTCGTACGAGGAAATATGCGATCACTGTGAGTATAAAAGAACACAGATTCGAACGAGAGCAATTATTTAGCACAAGTATTAAAGTGGTTCAGTTTGTTGTGCTAAAGCGTTATTTGCGAATAATCACCATGGTACAAAGGCGCATCTTGTCTGTGATCTTCTTGGCGCTTGTTTCTTCCAATGTATGTATATATTACACTTCTGATATCGATATTCTATTTAAAAATATTTTGCATTTTGTATAATCATTACACAGATGATACAAGCAGGAGTGATACCACAAGGATGGTTTCAACATGAAAATATTCCCAATTTTATAAATCTCCTAGACATACCCAGAATTGGCGAGTTTTCTAATCGTTTTGGCTTATCAGCGGCTACTGCTCTCGACGGTCTCAAATCGTACTTCGAAAACTTTCATACTGGCTTAGGCGAACTAGGTATTTTGCCCCATAATGGTATACTGCATCGTTTTTTCAATGGAGGAATACAACCAGGTCTTACGAATCCGGCAATTTTAAATGGAGCTGCAGACGCTGTTACAAACGCTCTTGTATCGAGAGTTGTGCCTAACACCGATTATCTTAGACCAGGCTTTTTTGGAAGACGTCTTTTCGGCAATTTAGGAGGAAGAGGCCTTGGTGGTGATCCAGCATCCGCTGGAGCTGCTAGTGCTGCTAGTTCTGCAGCCTGAGAATCTAAGCTTTTACTCTAAAATATTTAAAGTGAAATTGTAAAATTATACAGTGTGTCAGTTAATGTACATTATATATATAATATTCTTAATATATTTATTGTGATTAAATATATCAAGATTATAAAAATGTAACTATAACATGTAATTTCAACAATTGTCGTAAATTACACATGTTGAAATTGCAAAATTCTTGTTTATTGACATAAAAAAATAAAATATATTTTTATAATAAACACACCGAGATGTTGTTAATTAATGTAACATAAATGTATATTTCATTAACTTTTCTAGTTGGCTGTATAATTATTTTTTACTTTTAATTTATTTATTATTCTTACATAGCTAAAAGAGAAATATAGAGATTCAACAATTAAATATGTATTTATCATAATACTAAAATATTTATATATCTTTAATATTGATAATTTAAATAAAATGCAAATTTACAAAAAAAATATATGAATATTGCCGAATATGCTGCATCAATAAAAATCAACAAAATCAATAAAAATTCACATATCATTCTAGAATTATGAAACATTATTTATTTATTTTATATATTTTAATTTGAATGTCAATATTATTATTATTTTTCCACATAAATGCTGTATAATCGTAAATCGTGATTTATGCTATATGCGATAAATTTATAGATGTATTTTTTTAAATTAAATTCTAATCTGTAATTTTTGTTCTGTGCACGTTGGAAAAAAAATTCCATATCAAAGCGAAAAAAAAATCGCGATTGTGTTAGTATGCCGTTTTTATTTACTATATATAGGTTGGAAAAAGTTTACGCGTGAAAAGGACAAACCATCTCAGAATTGAATCACGGATAAAAGCTGAGACCTAGTATAGTATGTAGCTTAAATGCATGTATATATTTAGTAAAAGCAGAACGCTGACAAACGAGTTTTCTGCGTAAGATTTATTACATTATTCGTATGCTAGACTTGCCTCATATTTACATAAAACTACTAGCATGTCAATGTTACACTTGCATTTTAATTGCAACATAGTTTTAATAAGTTTATGTATATTTTTTTAAACAATTCTACCGCGCTATCCCTGAATAATTTGACTTATTATTAAAACATTACATGTGTATGGACAAGCTATAAATGTAACAGACTAACTGGTATTCCACTAAGTTTTTATTACTTATTTCATGTAAAGAAGTGGCGGTAAAATAGGTGTATTATAAATTCTAATTAGCAAAAGTATTGCGACGTTTATATATACAGAAACGGCGATATAAATCTCGTTGACAGAAACAGCAAAGAAAGCAATTAACCGATTAGTTGGCCGTCAATGCCAACTAGTCGTATCGTTATCTTACTGTCGTTGCACAAGTCATTTTCTTCCTGACATGCATTTCGATCGTAACTATACTTGCATTGTGTAGATCTAGCATTTTTTCATCATTTTCAATTATAGAAAATAACTCTTTATTATAATTATATACACGCACACATCCTTAATTTTAAATAAATTCAATACCGTAACGAAACCGTGATATTGAGTAATATCAATTGTCCGCAAATATCAATCACACAGGAATATATATTGTATTATATATCCGGGAAAATTAATAGGACAATGTATGCGTGTGCGTGTATGACAAATACGATAGATAGTTTTACAGCGAAATCGTTTGGCAGCTCAAAGAGTTAAACATATAAAGGCAGACGTCACTGTATGTGAAACATACTGTATTGTCCGTGCAAAATCATGCGAATGATTCAGACGTATTGCTGAATATGCATAGTAAATCAATGTATTCCCAATCGGATCGTATCATTTAGAGGGCATAATCGCATCGAGTCTGGGATATCATCGTCGACTGCTATCACTGCGCGTTCATTCCCGTGTCCCACGTCAGCATGTCGAGTGATTTGAGAACAATATCAACGACGTGCATTTGTCCCGGCCAATGAGAACGGATACAGAGTTACGCGTACCCGAATTTGCATAACTCGATTCGTTGCGGACGTGCGGTGCATAGCTCGATGGTTGGTGTTGTCGTGCGATTTCATTCGTAACGTCATCGCGCGGTTTCTCTTTTCCGGAAACGAAAAAAAAAACGACTTTCAACGAAAATAGCAATATGGTAGATATTTTGAAAAAATTTTAAATTTTAGATTAAAGAACTTACTATGATATAGAACCGGTACTTTATACACGCAAAGCAATGTTTTCCCATATTATTTTTTCAATAATCATTTAAATAAAAAAGAGAATATATTAAAGTTTGAAATTTATCAAAAAGTAAAAATATATGTTTGTAATAACTTGCCATCTCTATTTGAAATACACGCGCTCTGAAATGACTAACATCGGCAATATTATTCAAAAATAGCTCGATACCAGTCAACTCATATTTCACTAGTGACACAAAACTGCATTACGGACCAGTAGATTAAACTTTTCTCATCAAGCACGCGGCGGCGAATACTTCCGACATAACAAGTTCCCCTTCGACCACTCGGTAGACGAAGTACAATAAAGTTTGCTCGCTTACCGGCAACTTCATTGACTGCTTTTCCACGGTGACTTTTTCAATCCTCTTTCGTGGATTTTCCACGCGCGCGCGACCTTCGAATTGTCAGCTGCAATCTTACCAATTTTTCATAAGTTCTTTCCATTATAGATTTTATTTACAAGTAATTTTGGGAACGATAAGAGAAGCGACAGCGTTAAAATATATCATGTTTCTCGCGGGATATTAAAACAAAATCTAGAAGAAATTTTATAAGCTTTATTTTGCAATTATATTGTGTACTTAAATATGAAAGAGTGGAAATTTCTTGTATTAACGTGGGTCACATATTGTAACTGTTTTTCTTTAAAAGTTAAATGAAAATGTACATTTGTTGATTAACAAGAACTATTTTATATGTATATCAAACACATAAGAACAATATTAGATGCTGCCTGATCTATAAACTGGATTTTTAAGATAATATTTTTACCTTTTAAGCGGTTTAAAAAAATGGCCATAATAATTTTTATTCATATCTAGCTGAGTAAAATCATCTGATACATATATTCGTCAAAAGAAATTCAATAAAATGAACGGCGATTTTTACATTGCCACTTGTCACTATCACTGTATTTTGTATATGATGAAATATCATTATTGAAGGACTTTATCTAAAATTGCTGCTCTTAACTTAATCTATCACGCAGACTACGCCCAATGATAGAATCATGATAGTCTATATAGAGGTGAGTAACTGGGTGTTTGTTCCGGATATGTAAACGACATTGAGGCAAACGAGGTAGGAAATAATACTATAAAAGACAATGACAATCTAAGAGATCCATCAGTTGATCCTTTTCAGCTTCAGAAGACAAAATAATTGCACCAGCATGAAATCTCTCGTCAGTACACGTTCGAGATTACAAATTATTTATCTGTCCTTTCAAATTCTTATATTTATATAAGAATTGTACATTTATTTTGGAGAATAACAAATTTATTTATACATAACATATATATATATATATATATTTGATATTATTTATTTGTCCGTTATTCAATTTGACAATTTGAGAAGTTAATGATCTTATGGTATATTTTTTTTCTTTAAGTAGAGTAGTTTTCATTTTGGTCGCAATGACAGTCGCTCATCCCGATCGAGAGCGACGTAGCGTTGTGGGAGTACCTGTGGTTTCGCCAGCAACCGCAGTGATAGGATCGAGAGCTGGTGTGACTATCGTAGGTCCCGCTGGAGTAGTCGCTGGAAGCGTACCCGCGGTTGTAGCTGGTCTGGTGCCCGGTAAGCAGATGAATTGCACAAATTAGTATAATCAATAATTTACTACAAACAATATACTATCAATGAAGCTCTATAGAAACTTACACATATATTTCTAATTGTAAGTATAGATTATAAGATTTAATATCTTGTTATAGTAATTTTTGCAATAAATTTGATCGATTTATTCTTACACAAAATTGATTATACATGTCAAGGATATATTTTTAAAATTATCATGTTTCTTAATTTACTGATGTGGAAAGTATAACTTATGGAGAGAAATATAATTCTTCAAAATGTATTATATTGGAATTTTGTATGTATCTTTGTAATATGAATAAAAAATTGACAAAATTTTATGTAAAATTCTAATTGAAATAATATATCGCACACAAATTTAGATATTGATATCTGTTTTTTTTTTAACAATAAATTCCATTTTTTAAATGTTTTGTAAATAAAATATTTCGTAAACTAAAAATAAAATTTTAGACAACTTTTTATTATAAATTTTTATTAACAGCAGTTGTCGCTGGACTATTAGGTACTGTTGTCGTGGAAGTTCCAGGGCCTGTTGTGGCTTTCCATGGCGTCTTGTAACTACAATGCCAATCTTGACGATGCAATTCTGTGAACATCACAGAAAACTATGGAACATAAACAAGGCTGGAATTTTCATTAATGGACAAGAGACTTGAATCCCCCTTTATTTCAAACACTAGTACTTTCACTTTATTATGACATTTATCTTACTTGCTTGATCCAATTTTCTAAGTAAAATTGTAAACGCAAGTGTTAACAGAATAATAAATGTTTCCTGATACATACGTTAATATACACGTTTTGTTCACGATCTTTTGCGTTGACAACTAGATAGGCAAACAACTTCTTACGTCACAACCTAGGCAAACTTAAATAATTAAAAAGTAAAAATAATTAAAATTAATAAAATAATTAGTAAAAACAATTAAAAATTTAATATGATGACTGCCAAGGAAGCGTAATATGTAAAACATACACTCACATACACACATATCGAATAACTTATGAAAACATAAAAAAAGATTTAATTCCGTATTTACATTAGTTGAGTTTACTGGAAAATAAAATTGTAATTGTTAGTTAGTTTAAAACTTGTTATATAAAAACTAACAAGACGATAAATAAAGGTTCCTTGTACTGGATGTTATATATAATGAATATAATTTTATTTAATTTTGCCAAAAGATTTAATAGCCACTTTACATGACAAATTTTTAAGAATTGTAGATTTTATTCTATTAATTTTGTTATTTACTTTTTTACGTATTTGCAATCTAAATCTCGTCTAACTATTTTAATTTCCAATGGTTTAGAATAGTTAAAAGAATGAAGTAGTAAATCGTAATCACATACATAAATAAAGTTATAACAAGATATATATACATGAAAGAAATATATATATATATATATCATATGTATATCATATATATATTCATGAAATAAATGTATGTATAACATATTTCGTTTGCTATATAAATTATAAATTTATTTCTTTTTGCAAATATATGAGGCAATAAAAAATTGTCTATCGCTTTGATGACTCATGAGAATAATTTCCTCTTTTAGATATTCGACAATTGAAATATATATATATATATATATCATATGTATATCATATATATATTCATGAAATAAATGTATGTATAACATATTTCGTTTGCTATATAAATTATAAATTTATTTCTTTTTGCAAATATATGAGGCAATAAAAAATTGCCTATCGTTTTGATGAGGCATGAGAATAATTTTCTTTGTAATTTAGATATTCGACAATTAAAATATTCTTTATTTTACTTGCAGAAAATAACGTAATAATTAGTATGATAATAGCAGTATATACTGTATATATAGTTGTTACATTTGGTAATAATAGCATACGGTATCCAGTTTTTGTCCTTCTCGTTTTATTTCTGAGTCAGCAGTTTTGTTAGCATATCTATTACGCAAAACATTATTTCTAAACGAGAAAAAGTGCGTTCATCTAAAGGTTCTCTTGTACTGGATGTTATATATAATGAATATAATTTTATTTAATTTTGCCAAAAGATTTAATAGCCACTTTACATGACAAATTTTTAAGAATTGTAGATTTTATTCTATTAATTTTGTTATTTACTTTTTTACGTATTTGCAATCTAAATCTCGTCTAACTATTTTAATTTCCAATGGTTTAGAATAGTTAAAAGAATGAAGTAGTAAATCGTAATCACATACATAAATAAAGTTATAACAAGATATATATACATGAAAGAAATATATATATATATATATCATATGTATATCATATATATATTCATGAAATAAATGTATGTATAACATATTTCGTTTGCTATATAAATTATAAATTTATTTCTTTTTGCAAATATATGAGGCAATAAAAAATTGTCTATCGCTTTGATGACTCATGAGAATAATTTCCTCTTTTAGATATTCGACAATTAAAATATTCTTTATTTTACTTGCAGAAAATAACGTAATAATTAGTATGATAATAGCAGTATATACTGTATATATAGTTGTTACATTTGGTAATAATAGCATACGGTATCCAGTTTTTGTCCTTCTCGTTTTATTTCTGAGTCAGCAGTTTTGTTAGCATATCTATTACGCAAAACATTATTTCTAAACGAGAAAAAGTGCGTTCATCATATTAATCTACAACTACGCTTGAATTTTAAAAAATAACATTAAAATAAAAGGTGATCGTGAAAAATCAGAAATAATTGCTTAAAATGGCTAATATGAAATATATCGTAAGTTTTATTTAATCATTATTTGCATTTAACTGTTACATATTTTCTGTAATGCGAATAACATTGAAAGACTAAGGCTTCGATTTCTCTGAAATTTTAGATTTTACTTTCCTGTATAATGCTGCTTCTGTTACCCAGAGACAGTGTAGGTGCTAAAGGTAAAGTAGCTGTAGATGCTAAAGGTAAAGTAGCTGTAGGTGATAAAGATAAAGCAGCTATAGATATATCATCAAATAACAGGAATTTCAGGAATCAGGTCCTGAAATAACAGAAACATCGACAAATAATATGTAAAATTATATCCAAATATATTTCTATACATTTACAATAAAAGATGCACCGATGATCAAGACTTATCTTTTGGAAATAGGGAAGAATGAACGTGCCATCAACTCAAGAAATACAAGATGTATCCAGCTTCCTTTCAATTTAAGCTGCATTTAATTTACAATCAACATAAGCTTACAAATATTAAAATAGAAAAATATTAAAATATGTGAAAAGTTTATAATTATTAATTGAAAATTTTTACAATATAATGTTTGCTTCTATAATTAAATGATATCTGATCTTATTAGCTTTACTTGGTGGTGGTTTATCAATTCTTTAACTTTAGAGCTTGGATTGCAATTGTAAAAACAAAAAAAAAATAAAATAAAATAAAAGGTTTAATCAGTGCAATATTGTGTTTCAGATTTTATTGTATTTCATATATATATGTATAATAGTTATTACGATTTTATTATATTAATTTTCTCGAAAAATGTGCAAGTTTTATGCAGAGTATAGCATATCTCTCGTCAGAGTACATTATATCAAGTTAAACAAAGTACATATTTTCTGTAATGCGAATAACATTGAAAGACTAAAGCTTCGACTTCTCTGAAATTTCAGATTTTACTTTCCTGTATAATGCTGCTTTGAGAGCCAGACAGTAAGTAAAGGAAAATACAAACATTTTTTTTTTAAATTGGATTATGTTCGGTAGCTTTACTCACTAATAATTAATCTTAAAGAATAGAAAGTTTATCAGTGTAATATTGTCTTAAATTTTATTGTGTTTTACATATAATAATAATTATATTTGTTATACGTGATTATATAATAAATTTTATTGAAGAATATGCAAGCTGAACAGACGTATGCATGCTCGAACACCAATTGTATCACTTTATATTAAAACATGCAGCATAGTGCTGCGAGAGTGTCAGCAGTGCTGACATTTGTCTTGCATGTCCCACAGCTGTCGCTAAGCTGCTTCAATTTCGCAATTCATCTGGTATATATTTCTATTCTGTGAATATATATATATGTGCATGTTAGTGCCCCGTGCTTCGCATGCATAGTAACAATAACACAATCTTGTCTAACTTATAGAAAATTGCGACACCGTTTACAACTAATATGCTAAACGCAGAAGCTGTTGCACCTGTTGAGAATTTTGTTGATATTATGTTATTAAAAGACATATTTTAATATAATATATGTAGCAATATAAACATTGCTGTATGAAAAATGTCAGTTTTATGCATTATTTGTTGACATAAAGTTTAATAAAATCCCGTAAATAAATCCCGAACAATTAAAAGGCTCAGAAATCGCGAAAAATAACAGAATCACTCTTATTATTAATTGTTAATTTAATATATATTGTTATTAGCCTTATTGTTTATTAATGTTTGTTTAATTGGCCTGCTACAGCTTTTAATTGTTAATTACTTGTAATTTAAATCCGTTATTAAATTGTAACCATGCAATAAGTCTATGTTGTTTTTTACAAATATCAACAATATATATTTTTTAATCTTGTCGTTATTAATGTAATCTGCATGTTTGACTGCACATTGTTCTACTAATATGCGATATTCGACGGCGTTTACAACAATTTCAATTTGCATATGACTTGCTTTTATAAGAACATATAATATTCGTTGTACCGGACTATGTTCCTCTGAAACGCAGGAAACTACTCTTTGAAATGATAATGCGCGCGGATGATGCAGCTATAATTTTCGTGGTTTCCATAGCTGTGCATAAGCTATGGAGATGGATACGAGCGGATGATGATGAGACAGCTCCGTTATAACGCGGTGTCTTGCATTTCGTGACCATGATTAAAAATGCAGATTAAAAAAGGCGAATGTCGCGGCACAAATGTTCCTCGTGGAACGAAGCAAAAAGGGAAATGCTTCGATATTCGCACGAATATTCTCAATACCAACATGGAGAATACAGGACTGATTGGTATGACATTGAGGCAATTTCCAGCAATTATCGGGGAAGGTGGACGGATATCGTCGCTCAATGGAGACATATCGGAACCGATGCAGTGGCGACATAATGGACAAATAGAGGCCAGCCAATTCCAATTAGCCTGTAAGAAGATATTATACATAAAAAATAAATTTATAAAATAATAGAAAATAATAGATTGGCGGAAATAAAATAGATTTTGATCATTCAAATTTTAATTTTATTTGTATAATTACGAAGAAATTGTCACATTAATTTTAATTTGTTCTCGTAGGTATATTTTAACATTAGTTATAATAAAAACATATCAAAGAGAATAAGCGAGAAATAATTTAGATTAGAGATAGAATTATTTTATCATATATATTATCTAATATTTTTTAGATACATTTTGTATGTAAAATATTGAAAAATGTTCTTATAAATATGAAACAAATTTTGATCTGTGTGGATATATCTAATTATAATATAACTACTCATATAATATATAAGAAGGAAAATGAAAAATGATAAGACTTTCGTTCCAGAAGTGCATTTATTATTATTATTATTATATATAACAATGTATATACGAAATTATATTATGTACACGTGACATATAAGAGACGAAAAATACACCAAATGACGAAGATCGTGATGTAATCGAGTCGGCGATTTTCGGAGAGATCGTCGCGCGAAGGTCCTTTATTCATGTTGCCGAATAATACGAATTACAAGTGTGCACGAATGATACCGCCTAATCCGGCGTGTCCAGCGGTGATGCTACCAGATGGGCCAGCGATCAAAGCGGGGGCTGCGACTGGTCCGGCGAGGGCTGCTGGACCTACAACAGGACCAGCAAGCACCGATCCTAAGAAACACAAGACATTGGAAAACATCTTAAGTACAAATAAGTAATAGTATATTTTAAACAATTTACACCAAGTTTCTGTCTTCTTTTTCTTTTCCCTAAATGAATAATGTTTTCTTAAACGAGAGAAGTTTCTCAAATCTAAAACAAATAACTTTGATCCCCCCTATATAGTTGTTTACGATATATATTTTTTAAGTTTAATAAAGTTTTTTAAAATTCAGAATTTTAATATATATACTATACATGCAATATATAAAATTTATACATAAATTGATAAAAAAAAATTATCACATTTCAAAAAACAGTAAAATATATTTATAGAAAGATTTAAATTTAATTTCTTTTGTTATGAAAGAAGAAATATGAAAAACAGATTTGATAAAATAAAAAATAGACAAATGAGATTTTATAAGTTTTGTAGGATTAAAAAATCAAGGTGTACTCCTTAAAATATGTACTATTATAAAATTACTAACAATAAACGTTGGCAGTATGTTACATTGTAATAATGTTACGTGATATTTATTCACCAATAAAAGCCATGGCAAACAAGCTGATATGTAGTGTTTTATTTCGATTATTATTAAAATATGTATCGATGCGTGACATTAAGATCATATGTTCACATAACAAAGCCATATATTTGTACTATATTAACGTACCGATATCGGAATTGTAAATTGTACCGATTTCAAATTTTTCGAAATTTTTCAAATACACATCTCTCTTCTATAATATAATAATTTGTTTATAACACACACAACTATTTATAATATTTATTATAAATTGTTGTGCCATTTTAATTCGACATAGATAAATTCTTAGTTTATTGTTTGTTACCATAAGCTGCAGGCAATCCCAAGTGCCCTGGGATGGCAATCCCTGGTGCCGCGAAGCCAAGAGCCGGGGCAATCACCGCCGTCTGTCCGGTGACGCTACCGGAAACGACCGACGGTCCAGCAACTGATCCGGTAACGACGGCGCCGCCGTCGACAGCCCCGGAGATGCGTGCAGGCCCAACCACCGGTCCTGATAATACGGATGGTCCGTTAACGGGTCCGGCAAGAGACGCGGGGCCTAGAATCGGTCCGGCTAGTGCGGCGCCGAGGCCCAGGTAACCCGACGGAGCCGCGGTCGCCATCGACAGAGCCGCTACGAGGAGAATCGCGATCGAGGAGTACATGATGAAGAGGTGGACGATGAAACGAACGTCTAGGTGAATTTTCCTCGATGGCTGAGGTGGTTGTGGCTGCCATCGATTGGCGTCCAACGCGCTTTTATAGAGACATCGTCTCCCCGAATGCCGGTCCAACGCTACCACCGACCCCAAGGGCGGGGCACAGGACACGCCAAACATTCTCTGCGAGCTGGGCAAGCTGCGACGTCGACCAACCTAGTGTTGGTGACAACTAGAGTGTACCTCTAACGCCTCACCTCTCGTGTGTCTTGCCACGAGGGTCGCGCCGCTCCATTTCAACGCATCCGTCTATGGGCTCGCGCGTTGCGTTTGCCTCGGCCTGTTTGCGCAATCGGTAGTAGCAACAACAACAGATCGATATCTCGGTGCGATATCGCCTTTTGTTACAGTTCACGCTCGAAAGTGTGATGTGATTGACACTAGATCAATTTATTCAAAGACACGATCTTTATCTACCCACAGAGTTTCACGCTGATTTTTAAAAATTTTATTATTTATAGCATTTTTCTTTTATTTCTTAGATTTCTTTTAGATTCTTCAAAAAAAAAGAAAAAAAGCATATCGTATAAATGACAAGAAAAATTATTGATTGCTCGAAAAAATATTATATTTATTATATTTATTTTATATTTATTTTTCGTAAAGCATAAAATATATGAGATCAGCGACGCATTCAATCATCTCAACGACCTTGAGAGTAAAGACAACTGTCTCTATATGCGTGTCCTCTTCCTGCTTTCTCTCGACTCGATAAATAGACACGTATCTGCGCCATTAGAACGATTACATTGCATTGCATTGTGCATCTGTCTAGGCGAGGCATGAGTTGCATTGCCCACGCGTCATCCGGGCTTCGCAGATTGTCGTCAGGAATGAGGGTCCTATTGTTACATCGAATACGAATATGCGTATATACGTATGTGTGCACGCGCGCGTGTTACCAAGAGTTCGTAACATATCTCACGCAGACAGGAATCGTTTGCGGTGCCATTATCGGGCATCATATACAGCAAAGGTGGACTGTTGATTGAGCGATGCGGAAACTCTTTTTCGCCGCTTTTTCCATATCATTGTCCTTCTGTCGAATGAATTCAAAAGAATTGTAGCTCGAATGTGTGTGAGAGAACGTATGTATATGAAAAGCAACAAACGTGTCAACTTGGATATTTCGTCATTTCCTTTCATCGTGATATCTTTTTCTTCTCGATGAGACGGGAAATGCATTGTGTGTGTGACCAATGTATAGATCGGTGATTCTCAAAGTTTCTTGATTCACGAAAGCAACGTTCTTACACGAGCAGAATTTGGCGGAGCCCGAACCGCGTATCTTTTCATA